GGCAAAACTGATTATAATATATGTGAGCAGGGTTCTCAGTCTTGAGAGGCAAAACTCATTCATATGCAACACTGCAGAAGAGCCTTCCTTAGGCAAACCAAAATGTTTACATTCTCTGTCTCTGGCAGCTATTCCTGTTATAGCAGTTTGTCTATCACACACAAGTGTGAAGTGGTAGGCAAGAAGGCTGAGACTGCTAATGGACTGATGCTCATTCCCTTCCTGACAGGATCTTTAGGGGACATAGCAAGCATATATGTACACTAAGGGAACTTTTGGAGGTGAGCTTATCACAGCAAGTTATTGTGCTTTAGGTTCAGGCTCCAAGCTAAGGAGTGGTGAAAAAGCAGAGTAGGGATGGATGCTGGTAATCCACAGCTGAAATGTGAAATGATGATCATTTTTCAAGAGACAGCCAGGATGGTTTGCTCACTTTTTAAAGCCCATTACTGGCTCTATTATGCACAGGAGGAGAAAAAAAATATTGTCTCAGAAGATCAGAAGGGAAAAAGAAAAAGTTAGGTAAAGGAAGGGCTATTTTTCACTGCTAGCATAACACTGAACTGAAAGTTGTGGCTGGGAAAGAGCTCTCCAGTGCATACAATTCAACAAATATTTCAGGTAAGCTTCCATCTGGCCATCTGTGTCACCTCTTTACCTTCTTCTGGCTTCCAAACTGACTTTATAGAATAAAATGTGAAGGGATTATAAAATCACTCTGAAATTATCTACTGAATATACAAAGAGAATTTCACAGATCTTATCTCTCTATCAAAACAGAGAGAAGATTTCATAAATTATATTAGCATAAAAGGTCTCCCAGAACAGAGATGGTGATGTTTCTTCACATCTGCAAGTGTGAAGAGAACATACAACATTTGCACTTTGACTCAGTTTATAAGAAATCCACTTTTTTTGTGTGTATGATTGTTGTTTCAAATCTATGTTGTTCTCTTATGACTGTTCCATTTCTTTGACATGCAAATCAGGTTGGACTTCATAGAGTCCTATGCAAGTTTTTGCAGAAAAACAAAAAGATGGCAAGGATGCAAACTGAAGCGGAGTCATTGCTGTCAGTGTTCAAGAGGCTGGAAAAGACTTGGAATGACAGAACACATAACATTCATATATGCTGAAAGCTGCAGATATTCATTGTTAATGAATGAGCTGATGATTCTCTGTGTGAAGAGTTTGCTGCATTAGCTCAGCACCAGATATATATCTGTAACACCATCTTTTGTTACATCACAAGCCCTCTTTAAAGTCTAGGGCTGATTGCTTCTCTTTTTCTGGTAGCCTCCCAAGGAGACAGAAGATTGACAGTGTGCTGCTTTAATGTCCACTCTTCTGCCTCTATCCTGCAGAGGTCCTTCATCTCTGCTCCTGCACTTTTGCACCTTTCCAAATTACCAGTCTGTCATCTGTCCACACTTCATTAGCACCAAAAACTCTAATGCTGGGGAATTATCCATTCTTGACTAGACAAGTATATATGAGGAAGTCATTTGGCAAAAAGGCCATCTTTATGTCCTGGACCTGTCAAGTACTCGTCATAACTCAAACCCTGATCACAACAGGGGCTTTTTGATGCTGCAGTGCAAATAAACACTTAACAAAATGACAGAGGTGCTACTGCAGAGGACAGGCATCTTGCGTGAAAAGAATACAGGTGTCCTCCCAAGTGATTTCAAGAACAAATTACTACCAATAGTAGTCTGTGAGACAGCTTTACTGAAGGAAATAATTTTCATGGAAAGTATGTGGTGCAGTTCAAAGGAGGAAATTTAACGCAGTTTTAGTGCTCAAAGATGAGGGGTTTATGGAAATTTCAAAATGGTAGTAGTTTAATTCCTAGATAAAGAAATGTTTCATGAAAAATCTAAATTAAAACCAAAGCTTCTGAGTGACTATTGTTGTTTGGGGTCCACAAGTCCCTCTTATTTAATTGTTTTAATTACCATTTGGAGCAAAAAACTCTAAACTAGTATTTAACTGTCAATTAAACCAATGATACATATAGGATACAGCACAAGTTTATTCCAAGTATAATATTCTACGACTGTATTACCCTTCAACAGTCACAAAGAAACATTTAAATGAAAAAGCAATTCAACCAACTTCCATAGTTATTTCACTCCTACCCTATCACTTCTTAACATCCAAATATTCTGTATAATCTATATTGGGACAGGAGGCTATAAAAATTGTTGCCATCTCTGAGAATGCAATCATGGCGTGGTTATTTGTTTTTCACTTTAATGAAATGCCTTCATTTGCTCTTCAGAGCTACAATGAAGGTTTTACTCAAAGATGAACCTGAGATTGTGACTGTTTCCTCTTGGTGCAATTGACCCTATGTATGTAATTCAAGAATGTTTGTGTTTATGGCACAATCTTGTTAGCTCTGGTAATTAAGCTGATAACACTGACAAATAGATTTCAACCATATGAGCAGGTAAGAATTACTTTCTTCCCCATTGCTACACAGACGAAAGACATAATTTTTTCTCTGTTCTCATTTTTCAGCAGTGGTATTACATGTCATGTATTTCACTACACGCCTTTCACATGCTAAATATCTTGGGCTTAGTTCAGAGTTTTGAATATCATGCCAATTATGCAAATCTTGAGGCTTAAATGTAAGCTTGGTATCCTCTGAAGACAGTGTCTACTTATGAAGTCTTTCTTGCCAATCTCAAGTGTTCCAAATAAACTGCTCCAAGCCTCCTCATAATATTTTCTCTGGAATCAGCTGGCCATATCATCCTTTTCAAGCTACCAAACATTAATGTCCAGTCACACTGTGCCCTACAACAGGCAATGTGCACATAACAATTGCCTGTCAGAGAGGCAAATAGAAGTGGTTTGATGCCTGGTTATAAGTAATTAATTATAGATCAGATATCATCCATAAAGGAATAGGACATTAGGTCCTTTCTTTCTCTTTTAATATGCAAAGATAACCTGAGTCATTAACTGGTGTCCACTCATAGTAGGTAAATACCATCCAATTTTCCCTTCATAAAAAATTCCCCAAAATGTTTTCTGGGAGCCTTCAGAAACAGTCTTCTGCTGACTCCACTGGATTGCATGTGGAGACTGCCCTGTGAATCCACATGAATGTGCAGACCATAGACACCACCAAAGCAGAGACCACTATTCCACTTCCAAACAATTAACAGAAGTATTGGATTTAACTTTGATTTCACTAAACCTATATAAATTTAGACATGCATACAGGTAGAAAGAGATTACATAGTCAGTTTGATGAAGTTTACTTTCTGTTGTATGTATTTTCTTTGTATTCATAAACAAGAAGCAGCAAAGGTTTTTTTCTCCCCCATAACTTCTATAGGCTGTCTATGAAAGAATTTCATTCCATAAAGAAGCCAATTATATATATATATATATATATATATCACACATGTCATAGCTCTGGAAAGAATAGTGCTTGTTAATTTCTAGAAGTCATTAAATTGCACATTATTTTAATTAAACAAAGTAGTCTAACAGGCACTGCAGATGAGAATGGGATGCATTTGAAAATTTTATAGCTCTTCATTCCACATATGCTAGAAATCTTCGGAATCTGGTGAATAGCACAATACAGATGATACAGATGAATAAAGAAGATTTTTATGAGCAGCCACTGTAGCAAACAGGCACAATGGATTCATAAGACTATGAAAGAATTTTTAATTTGAGAGTAGGGTTGAGTTTTAAAAAGTGAAACACGGATCAGCCAATTTTACTAAGTTGTGAAAATCAAAAATCAGAATAAAAGTTTTTATTTTAATCAAAAAATGGAAGCAACATTAAAGTATTTGGGGAGTTTTACAAACTCAGTTGTGTTAATATCTCCAATCTTTTCTGAACATTGTCACACATATTCAAGGTTACATAAATGACTAATTAATTCCTAAAATGTGGACTGCTTTGAAATGAAATATGGTGAACATTTGCTGCTATTTAATAGCATTGGCTAAAAAAGATGCATTTGAAGAAGAACTAATTGAGTACTCTACATTTGGCCATCCCATGTTCATCAGGTAAAAGCCTTACAAAAATGTAAAACTCCACCCTTGCAGCTACAAAACAAATGCTTCACTTCTATTCTCCCTAGTGAGAAATGAATCCCTTCCTGTAGACATATCTCCATGTTCTCCTCATTATCTTATTCTCTCAGGAAACCAAGGGAAAAAAAGAAGAAGCAAGCAAAACAAGAGCACTGTGGTTTCCCTGCCTTCTGCTGATGAGCAAGTGAGCAACTGTCCCCTGTGTGACCCACTGCCTACACGGTGCACAGCCACGCACACAATTATGGTCACTCTCTGCTGAAGGGAGAAAAGCCTAATGAAGCTTCATCTTAAAGACACTTGCTGTACCTGATGGATAAAGGCTACAAAAAGCTGCTGAGAAAGACAGCATTTAAGAATTTATTCAGCTTGAATCTCTCTCTTTACACTGATCGTTCAACTTTATTCCATGGTTGCTCAGGAATATTACAAGAATGTAATTGTTACAACTGAAGGGAAAAGAGAACTCCTCTTTCATTGGTGACTGCAATATTCTGAGATCTAATTTCACTTGTATGTCAAAGCTCCAAGGCAGTCTCTTTATCAGCTTTTCCAGACTTGCTCTTCAATTCCCAATTTTGAGTACTCTAGAGAAGGAAGCCAGCAAAATATCAAACTGCCTAGTCAATGTATCCTGTTAAAACAGCCCACTTCCAAACTTCCTATTTGTGGAGTAATAAATTTGTAAGATATTGCCTCTGGCTATTACGTATTTTGTATTGTGCTAGCACTATATACCGGATTCTTTTCTACTTATTTAAAAATGGTGTGTATACGCAGTGCAGAGCTATGAAGAAACAAACCCAAAACCTCAGAAAGGACTACTGTGAATAAAAGATTTATGTTAGGACAAAGAATTCATTGTGAGCATGCTTAAATGAAAGTACAACCGTAAACTCAAGTTAAGACAAGAGAAAAACATACCTGTGAAAAGCCGAGCACTTGTCCATTTTCATCGAGCACATTAAAATTAATGATTGGACCTTGGGCATCAGGATTCCTGAAATCTGTGTCACTGTAAATACGTACTACAGGAGCCCCATTGGCATATTTCAAGTTAGACAGCACAGTGTAGGTGTAGTGAGCTAAGGCAAAGGTATGCTGCTTTATTTTCTCCATTCCACCTGCAAAAGAAAAGTGCACACACATGTCAGGTGCATTATTTTTATGGCAATGTAAAAAAAGGATGATTTTTCATGAATGGCGTGGTGTGAGGTAATTAGCACAAAATTGATAGTTTTGTGTTTCTTTAAATGCATATACAATTTTCAAGTCTTTCTTTCCTCATGCAGAAGTTTCAGAAGTGGTGTTGCACCAACGACTTATCTATAGTTAATCTACTGTAGAAAGCTAAAGTTTCGCTGAAATGGTTTACAGTGGAATGACAAGATTTATACTTCCAGTCTATACTTAAAACTAAGATGTTCTGGTGCAAATTAATTGAAAAACAAGTTTTTCTCCAGATGTAATTCTGGAGACCATGGGAACACAGACAAATTCTCTATCACAGAAAGCAAACTGTTATGTCTGAGATAAAAATAATAAAATTCTAAACGTAATGACAAAATAAAAATGTCATTTTACAAGGAATTTACTTGAATAATGAAGAATTATTCTTCCACGACTTCTTTCTACAAAAGAAAAAGGGCAGTGTGAATTCTTCATTGACTACACCCATACTATATAAGGGGTCAAGAGAAACTTTACAGACGAGCTTTCACAGAACTTGGCCGGGGAAAAGCATAAAGAGTAAATTTTTTTTCTCTTTTTGATACACTGTGCAGTTTGGAAAGGAGAACTGCAGAGAATTCCTGACAGATGAAGATCTCTTCAACATCTCTGCTCTTTGAGGAGAGGTTGTGTTTTTGCTAGATGTCCCTATTGAAGGAGATTCCATTATGCACACTGTGCACTGCATTATGGTGGGTCTAAACTATGTGGAAAGAGCAAAAACAGGTGAAGAATCATCAAAGACCTCTTGAAGTAGAAGAGCATTTTTCTTATTGGGTTTTAGACACAGAGCATTTTCTGTAATGTTGAGTATCCTATTTGAGGCTTATGAGCATATTTCACATTTTATTTTACTTTTTTTATTAATCTTTGTAATTATGACTCTCACACTTACTTCTGTGCATATTACATTTATATCTGAGTATCTGTAAAGTTCCACACTTGAAAATTTGTAATCTTGTTGACTTTTGTGCCTTTATTCATAAAAATTCTGTGTCATTTATGAATGTATATAAAGGGAAAAAAAAGATATATTTCTCCTGACACCCAGAAGAATCTGTTATTTTGCTTTTTTTTTTTTTTAGTTTCTCTATGATGTCTTATCTCCTTTAGATAAGCTGGGAGAGAATACATTAAAAGCATAGTAACAGATTAGATATAAGGTAGAAGCATATTTTTTTGGTGCTGGAGAATAATAAAGAGGAATAAGATATTTAATGAGATACTAACATGCAAAGTATTTGCAAGGAGGCATGCCAGGAGCTAATCAGTGCAATTTCTAGATGTTAGCCACAGTAAACTTGGTAAGCATCTCTGGAAGATTTTGGTCTGAAAGATGATTTGTACTTTTAGAGTCTCTGAGAAAAGATTGACTAGTCAGAAATGTCCTAGTCATTGTTGGGTAGAAGAGTCTTGAAACAGCAAAAAAGGAAACCAAAACCACACACACACACACAAGAAGTTATTTCTGAGCATTTGCCAGAAAGTAGCTGTCTTAAGAGAAGTGACTGCCTTGTCAGCTTCTGAGATGTGTCTAATCTCCTGATTCAGAGCTTTTCCAAACTGACAGGAATCTTTTAATAGAAGATTAAACTACTGTCCTTGTGCCTGGTTGAAGAAATCACTTATTCAGAAATTTCAGTCACTTATTCATAGCAATCATCCCTGCTATCATTTCTACATTGTTTTCAGCTATTTTCCTTTAAAGTTTCTTAATCACATTTCCTTGTTCATTAGCGAAAAGCTGATGAGCCTTTTAGTTATTTATTCTGACAAATCCAAATGCAATAGCCTGCAGTTGCTTTCCTTCCCTGTGATTGGAGATGGGAAGCTGTGTTGCCAGGGTCCCATATTTTTAAGAAGCAGAATAGGTGGTAATTAGGCCTGATGTCACAGAAAACCTTGTGGAAAAACTGCCAACAATCTGAAATCTATTCTGACAGAAAAAGGGATATAGTCAGAAAATAGCTATGATTTATTTTTATTTTGTTCAACAAAATTATCTGTACTGTGTATTATATAAATACAGTGCTTACCTCATCTCCCTTCTAGGAGTAAGAAGGAAGGGAAAATAAAAGCCAGAACAAATCTCTGTTTGAGAATAAAAGCAGTAACACATCATAAGCCACCTTCTACTTTTGTAAGACTTACAGTTCAGAGAAATCATCGATATTTCATCTCAAGAACTTGCTAGGAAGGACTCAAGTACCCTGACTTCTTCTCAGTTTAGGGTTTTTATTTCCTACAGGTGCATTATTTCATTAAGCTGAATTGAATCTAGTTGCTCCTGAAAATTATTTTAAAATTAGGAACAATTTATGCATTCTATAATTTGGATGAGAATTAATCCCATGTCTAAATTACTTTAGATGAAGTCTATCTAATACCATCCACAGTATTTATGTGTGTAGGAAGACATTCAGCACAGAGAATGTTCACAGACTACAACCTGCACTCATTAGTAACGTTGTGGTAAACTTCTTGAGCAGAAGAGATTGGCAAAGCAAGCTTCTACTTACTTTTGTGTACAAACCTCCTTGCCAAAGTATTCTAGCAAACCTGTGGAAATGTTGGTACACCTCATATTGCTGATATATGTTTGCACACTACAGCATTCTGATAGGTCAACACCATCTCAGACCTGCCATCCCATATTATACCTCAGATTGGCTATTGTAATGGAAACAAACACTGTTCAAGTATGGAAAATTCAGAGTGCCACTGCACTGGATAACCCACACATAAATTTAGTGTCAGCTCTTCCAAAGGAATTGCATGTATGCATATGCCTCTCCACAGAGACTGTGGGACAGTTAAATCATATGGAAGAGAAGGAGAAGTCATGCCACACTTACAAGAGGGTACAGACTGTGTGCATTCAAAGTATTCACAATTGTTATCATGGTGTAGGAAACCCACTGCTTGTCTTGCCTGCTGATAATATCTTGTATTTGCATAACCTCTGTCTTGTTAGCTGCTTATTCTGTGCAAAATAGAGTAAGATTTTTTTCCCAGTGGAATTTTATCTAATCAGATAAGTCTGAGATATACAGATGTCCAATAAATATTCAGTAAAGAATGATTCTGAGTTAGCATGGACGTGGTTTTGCATTACATAATGGCACACATATAATGGCATATTGTCTCCTCACCAGAAGAACCAGGATTTCAGCAGCCCAAATGTTCAAATGTTAGCTCTTCCTGAAAGAGCTGCAGACAAATAAGCATATATCAACACCTATAAAAGATTTTGAAGATTTTGAATAAATAGATTAAGATAAAGCAGAGACTGGAAAGGAGCCTCTAGAATGAAAGACCTGGTGCTTAAGGTTTTCAGGCTGTACTCAGAAACCTCTGTGATCTGCATTCAAATACATTTTTTGTCTCTCTTATTATGAGAAGCTTAATACTGGAGATAAGGAAGAAGAGAGATATAAAACAAATTCACAGTTATTGTTCTAACTCAGTGTGAAAAAGCTACAGAAATTGAGATTTAAGTGGGACAAATTTTATATCACTCCAGTAAATCCAAGCTCACATATATGTTTGGATAAGAGAAAGATCCTGTCAGCATCACCTAATAGATAGCAACGAGGTAAAGAAATAATGAGCTGAAATCTCAGCAAACCAATCAGCAGGGAGTGAGACCATGATGTACCACCTTCTACTGAATCCCAAATGAGGCAGATAACCATGCAGGACCAGTGAGTCAATGTGCCATGGAACCTGGAAATCCTGTCAAACATTTGGAGTCCTTCCTTCACTTCCTCCAAGAAGCATACGTTAAGATTAATTTCTGAGCTTTTTTTTGGTGTTCTTTTCTGCATAGGTCTGGATATCTCTGACTGAGGTCTGTCACCTATTTAGTGTTATTCTTCCTACTAAAATAATCTCTTGAGGATGAACTTGGTAATGGTAATTTTTGGCAAATGCGAGTGTTTCAGCTTTAAACCACATTAAACAATGTATTCGAACCACTGCTATTCTTTACCACTCCTGTTTTAAACAAAATGCTGCAAACATGATCATGAAATATTCTTAAAATGATCAAAATCCCCACCCCCAAAGTGCAACTCTGAAATATTAAAAATAGAATACAAGAAAAGAAAAGAAAGAGAAGAAAATATAATCAACTTGATCAGTCACCTCTTGGTAGAGCTTCTACATTTATAAAAAAAAAAATAAATATAACCACTCCTGGTGAGTTTTTCCCCCTAAATTATGAGAATTGCTTCCCTTAGTTAAACCAAATCTAGCCTGTTTCCCAGAGTGAAGAGTAACAGCTGCCTAGAAGAAAAAAAATTTGAAAAACATATGTAATTTATCATCAGTTACAATGAAGTAAACAAAATATATATATTTTAAAAATCCCAATATATGAAAATGTCCTTGTGGGTTGGCTAACAGCAACCAAACAGAGCTAAAAAACTAAACAGTTTTTAAAACAGAACTAGGGGTAGAAAAGCCACTCATGGAATTTCAAGATTACAATTAATACATTAACATTTCCTTGGTGTCACAAGAAAAGAGCTCCTCTGATGTAAAAGAACTGCAATACTGGTCATAACTGTTACCAAAATCTCATTCATTTAATTCAAAATAAACCCCTGTAAATGGCTTACCAGCCAATTCATAAAAATATTTATCATCCACATCCACAGAAAAGGCACAAGGCATGGACAGATTGCAAACCCCTCTTTCACTCTGACTCACATGACCAGTTCAATGAACTTGATCTATAAAACACGTGTAATAAAAATTATTTTGGGGAACAGAAAGTGGGGTAGACCAGGACTGCTTCTGCAGATAAGGTGACTGCATTTGAGAGCAAGAAGGGTAAAATCTGTGTCTCCAGTTGTCATTGGTAACTCTAAAAGATAATGCAGACTTCTTT